GGACATTCTTAAGGCCATTATGTAGCTGTAACTGACAATAGTTGGGGTGACTGCCCAATTCACAACGGTTCCTTCGTTTATGCCACATACTGGGGGAAGGCCCAAGTCGTGCACTCTCTCTTTGCCTTTGGTTAGTCAAGAGTCTACGTGATCTTAGCTAGTCCAATCAGAAGCTCAAGGATTGCTTCTCTTTTCCTTCTGATTTGCTTTGTTTGCTCTGGCTTTTCATTTTAAATATACCATGGGAGGGCTAAGGACACAGCTCAGTCAGTAGAGCGCTTCCTTAATACACACAAAGCCCTAGGTTTGATCCCTAGCACCACATAAAACCAGGCAGGAAATAAGGAGCAAACAAACCACAGTGAATAAGATAGGCCTTATTGTTTAGAAAGAGATTCACTGTTATGGCTCACTGTTCTGTGAATCTGAAACACCTCCCAGAGCCTCATGCATTAAAAGCTTTGTGGTCAGCTCTGACTTCATCAATGACCCAAGCCACTGATGGAGTCATAATGTGATAACATTCATTACAAAGTGGTGGAGACTAAGGAGTTGAGTTGTGGTTGCAGGAGGTAGGTCACTAGGGGTATGCCCATGCGAGGTACACCTTGTCCCCAGCCTCCTTCCTGACTGCTCTGCTCCCCCAAGCCTTCCTTCCTTAGTACAGGCTTGGAAGTGATGCAGTCGCCAGGAAGTGATGGGGCTAGCCAACCACGGGCTCAAAGCTACTGGAACCATAAACCAAAGTAAATGCTTTTCCTTTAAACTGATTGTCCCCAGGGTTTGTGACAGGGTTTAAAAGTCGGATACACTGTGACACATAGTGTGAAAGAAACAAACTGAAAGAACAAGGCTGGGAGTCTGTGATTCTGACCGCCCTGGGCCCTGCCTACTCTGGGACCCTTCCTATAGATAAACCAGGTGCCCTGGCATCTTCACAACTAATTTCCCATCTGTCTTACAAATAAGTGTCCTAAGAGAGAAACACAAACAGATCACACATGGGCTAACAGAGGGCATTTTGGTACTCCACGAACAGCCAAGACTTTTTAAGTTATGAATTCTGATTCTTTTTAATATGTTATTATTTTTATTTTGTGTGTATGAGTGCATTGCTGGCATGTATGTAAATGCACCTGTGTTGTGCAATGCTCACAGAGGTCAGAAGAGAGTGTCAGATTTCCCTGGAACTGGATTACACATGGTTGTTAGCCGACAAGCAGGTCCTGGGAACCAAACCAAACTGGTGCTCTTAGTTGCTGAGCCATCTCTCCAGCCCCTAATTTCTGAATGTCTTAGTGGTCTGTCAGTTGTCCTTTTCCATCAGTCCACTGCTTTACTGCACTCCTTGAAGCTTCTCTTCACAAGTTCCTTTATTAGCATTTTACTCACATACTGTATAACTACTTAAGTTTATTTTTTTCTGTTCTTTAAAGTTAAATTCCTAATCCACACATTAAAGAACTTTTGCAGAATAGTTACATAGTAGGTTTATAAATACTTGCCTCTTCCAACATCAGAGTCATATTTGTGCCACCAAGTGTCAAAGAACAACATCAAACTGCAGCTTCTAAGTACAGTAAAGACTAGCAGGTGCTCAACACTACCAGTGAAAAGGGGTGGGCAGCCCCACGGGGCACATGCAATTTTAAAAGTGAAAGGGTAGGGAACCCGAAGATGGTTCGAAGGGTAAGATGCTTGCTGTGAAAACATGAGTTCCAATTCCCAGAACCTACGTAAAGCTGGACCTGTAGGTACGTCAGTAATTCCAGTTCCCCACGGCAAGATGAGCAGCAGGTTCAGGAGGAGCCGCAGACCTGCCGCTGGCCAGACGCAGTGCTGAGACAAAGAGGCTCTGTCTCTAACAAAGCACAGAGCGAGGCCCACACTCAAGGCTCTCCTGTGACCTCCACATACATGGTCACACTCACACATGTAAACACACATGTGTCATACACGCACATACATGTATACGCATGTGTGCACACATCATATATGCAAGTGCATATAAAACACACAGCACACACATATCATACACATGCATAAAATATATCACATGTGTGATACACATATCATACACATATACACACATCACACACATTCATACCACACACATGCACACATTCACATACAGACATCATACACACATATCACACATACATATCATAAACACATTATACACATGCCATGCACAGACACACAAATACACATACCATACAAGCACATATACACATATCCACACATAGCACACACACTACACACACATGCACACACACATATACATACATATCATATGCATACATCATACATATCTCATACACATATACCATGCATGCATATCATACAGATATCAGACACATACACACATATCATACACCTATCATACACACAGACACACATCACACAGACATGCACACATGCATGCACACATACATATACACACATCATACACACATATACACACATCATATACACTCATCACACACACATCAATCATACACATTATATACACATTTACATACAGCACGCATATATTGTACACACATATCATACACACAAAGATAAAAAATGAAAAGATAAAAGCTAAAAGACAACAATATGACATACAACTTTAAGCCTCCAAAGTAAAGGCGGCTGAACCTTGGGGATGAACAGCAAAGGCAGAAAAGGAAAGGAAGAGAGACAGGGACAGAGCGACTAGAAGTCCAGGTGTGGCATCCATTTGGAAGTTATTGTTGTGCATGAGAACACTCACAGCTGTGAGCAATAAAAACCTTTCCCAGGGAGTTGTGCTGATGTAGCAAAACTGAAAAGGGAATTTTCAGCACAAACAAAAAAAAAAAGGGAGAGAAAAAGATGAAAGCATTTACCTCACACATCCTACTTAAATTGGTTGCATTTTCAATAACATTATCTGGGAGGAAAGTTTCTTTAAATCCTTCCAAACAGTCAACAATCATAAATAAATAAACTAAAAAAGTGGGTTGTGGGAAACAGTAAGATATAGAAAGACAAGATGCCCATTTTCATGTATCCACTTACAAATCTTTAAATTCTGCAGTTTCATACATAACCATAAAAATAACATGACATCAATTACAAGAAAAAAAAAATTCATGCTCCGTTACCAAAACCAGTGTGCCAAAATACAAACGTATTTTAAAGTTAGCACAACTTAGTCATTGGCAGAGAACTTGTAGCAGAAACACTGAGTTTTGCAGAGGAAAGTTCAGCTTTCATAGAGCTCACTTTCTCGTGCTTGGTGGGTTTCACCTCTGTGGCCACGATAAAACACCGACACGAAGCAGAGGAGGAAAGACTTTATTTTGGCCTATAGCTCCAGAGGGAGACTCCATCATGGCAAGGACAATAGGCACCAGGCCAGAAGGCATGGTAGCAGGATCGGGAGCTGGCTGCTCACACTTCATCCACACACAGGAAGCAGAGGGAGAGAACAGGAAGTGGAGCGAGGCTGTAAAACCTCAAAGTCTGATCCCAGTGATGTATTTCAAGGCTCTACCTCCTAAGGGTTCTGTAACTCCCCCAAACAGCATCACCAGCCTTGGACAATGTCTCCCCATGGAAACTGTACTTCACTACGTTCATAGAGCTATCGTGTAGATTATAAGACCTAAGACTATGTCCTGTTCAGGCTTCAAGACTCAGATCAAGCCCATCTTCAGTGAAAAGATTTCTCTGCTCCCCACAAATGGTAATGTTCCATAACAGCTTCCATGTATGCAACGTAACTCTCATTGTATGTCTATTTGATTCTGGAATGAGACCCGTGGTAGACCTTCCTAAGAGCATATGGCCACCCCTGTGGCACCCCACCCACCATGACATTTCCTCCCTATCTTACTGATTCCTCACAGACTGCCAAGTTAATCTCTCCTGAACCTCACATTGATCCTATTCTTGCCTTTAAACAGCTTCAGTAACTCTCACATTGCTTCTAACAAACTCTAGAACATCAAGGCCCAGGACTTAAACCCAGCATATAGCCAAAAAGCAAATCGGCCTTGGAGAAGCCATCCACGAAAGTGTTTTCTCACTCCTGGAGGACCCCAAGCAGGCTCATCCACCTGTCTGCCAAGCCCACCCTGCAATCTTTCAGCAAATCAGATGCTGCTCCCTGGGAGTCAGGACCACCTCTCAGTCACTCTCTTCAAAATGCTCTCTCTTAGCAAAATGCCATCAATCTCCACCACAGGATTGTGAGGGCTGTAACAAAGATGGCGTTTTAAACAAGTTCGTAAGCCTCTCTGTAACTGAGAGTTGGCCTCATCATGCCCATCCATGTGTACGGACTATGCATTAGATACTGCCAGACGTCTTTTAAAAACCCAGGGGGTGCACTGGCAATCCTTTCCTACATTAGAGCTGAGAATACCAGATGACAGGCTAGGACCATAACAGAAATTTCAATAAAATAGGTCCAAAATTATATTCTGGGTAAAAAACTATATTCCCAACACTTGTGCTCTGATACCTTACATATTAAGCCATTAGCCTAGAAATTTTTCCCCTAACTAGCAAAATCTTCCCAGTTTTCACAATCCCACTCAAATGTCACCATTTCAAAAAAGTCTCATGCTAATAGTCTGACAAAATCGGTTTTTCCTTCCATGATTTATCTTTAAAGCTGAAAATACACCTTTATTATAATACCATTCCTGCAGAGATACAATCAGTAAATAGTTGCTGAATACAAATGGGTTTCTAAATGACAGTTCCCTTAAATAATTTTAATTCTCAGAACAATTAAATAGCAAGCAAAATAAAGATAACCTATATCTGCTGGACAAATAAAATAAATAGAAAAATGGGTTATCTTAGTAATTGCAGAAATTATATTAACAAATCTTTTCATAACTACATATAGCATTTAGCACATGATTCATGCCATGGAATCTTGTGTGGCTATCTAATTCAGACTTGTTCTTCTTTTAATATGCTCGAACAAAGCAGGATTAGTAAGAAATAAAGAAGAGACTCACCAGTCTACGTCTTTCTTCTTCAACTGCAATAAGTAGTCTTGCAAATTCCTTCAGTGACTGAGCTATTTAAAAAAAATAAGAAAGAAAAGCATTAATCCTGTTGCTAATATCTAATTACATGGCAGCAAGCATTACAATGAAGCTAGGCTATTAATTTGTACGTTTTATGTGACTTTATGTTTGCATAATGATAAAAGAGTATATACAGCAAAATCCTACTGAGTAACAGCTATGGATTAGAGAGGCATGTTTCTCTCTGTCTTGCAAATTAAAGTCTAGCACTTTGTCTTCAAAGATCCCAGAACAAATATAGTTTATGTGTTTTGTATTTATGTATTTAATAATATATAAAACTTGCATTAAAATAATCCTGGGATCCCTTCTCAATAGTGACCTACAGATATGAAATAATTGTTTCTTACTCTATAAAAAGCAATAAAACTGTCTGGCGATGACTCAGTTGGTAAGAGCACTTACAGAATCACAAGGACTTGAGTTTGGACCCCAGCACGCATGTAAAAAGTCAAGTGTAGCTATGAATGTGCACAACTACAATGCTGGGGGTAAGGAGAAGACAGGAGGACACCTGGAGCTCACTGACAGGCCCTGTCTCAAAAGAACATGATGACAAGCACACACTGGCTAGCCTCTGGTCTGCACACCTGGGAATCGGCACTCAAATCCATATGCACACTGGGGGGCGGGGGGCAGAACCTTGTACTGTGTATGTATACTTAGTAGCAGTGAGTAATGCAAGGTTCCTCACTGAATTCTACAAGCCCAGGGAACATCGATATTTGAAAACAGAGTCTACACTCTGAAGGCATCATTTTCTTCCAAGAGACTTTTAGATCTGTGCTACCCAGTTAGCATAAGCATGTCAGGAGCCTGTTAGGTAAAAAGGCAGACTCTGGGACCCCATCCTCCAATTTTGTGTTTTAATAAGATCCAGAAGTAATCTCTTTTTGTTTTAAAAGTTCCAAAGTGAACTGAGAGGAAAGCGCTAAGGATGAGGGTTCAACTTAGCATGCGCTAAAGCCTGGACTTGGCCTCTTTCTGCACTAGAGGGTGAGGGGGCACAGGAGAGGGGAGAGTTCAGAAATGCTGAGTGTACTCTCCTGTCTGGTGGGAAGTCATCTACATTAAAGGAGAATCAGGTATTCAGAAACTTGGGGATAACAAGTCAAAAATAAGAAAATAAATTCAGTGCATTGCAACAGCGTGTCCTTGAAAACGTGTGATTGCCAATGGCAATTATGATAATTCTCCTTCCTATCAATTTTCAACTAATAGTTAATTATCAGTTAACTAAATTCACAATATTTGAATTACAAAATGGCAACACAAAGTGAAAGAAAAAATTATTTTTACATATATTTTAACCCTTACCTTCTGTGTCCTTATTCATTAAGCTTTCTGTCTTGCCTTTTACTCATACCAATAATGAAAATATCCTGGGAGACTTGAAGTCTAAAAAGTCTTGCATAAAGCCTACACTATAGGCAGGTAAGTGGGGAAAAGGAACAGAAACGGGGCCAGTGAGGTGGGTCAGTAGGTAAGGCATTTGCCATGCAAATGTGAGGAAGGGAGTTCAGACCCAGAACCTTCATAGAACGTGTCATGGTGACACACATCTGTGATTCCAGTGGGATGAAATGGGAGGTGGAGACTGGGAAATCCCTGGAAGCTCATAGGCCGGCTGGTCTAGTGTGTGCCGTGTGCCGCAGTAAAGCCCTATCTCAAACAAGGTGGAACAAATACGCAAGCTTGTCCTCTCACTTCCACACTTGCACTGGCATATGCAAGCCTGCACCTATACATACATACACACACATAAACACACACACAATCATATATACATGTGTACCATATAACCACATACGTGTTAGTTACTGTTCTGTTTCTGTGATAAAGCATCACGACAAGGCAACTTATAGAAAGAGGAGTTTATTTGGCTTATAGTTCCAAAGGGATGAGAGGCCATCATGGTGGGGGAGACATGACAGGGGGCAGCCAGAGCAGAAAGCTGACAGTTCACATCTTCAAGCAGGCACAGAAAGCAGAGAGGGGCAAACTGGAAGTGAGCAAGTCTAAAGCCCACTGCCAGTGACCTGCTTCCTCCAGCATGGTCAAACCTCCTAAAGGTTCCATAACCCTCTGCAAACAGAGCCACCAACTGGGGACCAAGTATTCAAATGCTTGGAGCCTATAGGGGGAGAGGGTAGTCTCATTCAAACCACTACAACATACAAACAAAAAACAAACAAACAAAAGAAAAGATATAAAATAAAAAGTGTTAAACACACAGAACTCATTTAGGAGGAAAAGAAATGTTCTTCATTCCAGAATTTGAAATTCTAGGGGCAAGACTATAGCTCAGTGGTAGAGTATTTGTCCTGCAAGTTTTAAGACTCTGGGTTCATCAGAATGGTCGTGACTGCATGCACAAGACCTATGAAAGTCCAGGCCAGACAAAATCTCAGCATGGGGTGGGGTGGTAGGCACACAGTCCTACCCCTTGTGGAGGAACTACTAGCTCTGGGAAAGGAAGAAGCAGTTTTCTTGAGGAGTGCAGCCCTGGTAGGTTGACCCTGCTCCAGGGGGTGGAACCACACACAAGCACTTTGTGGAAATACAAATTGGATTTGAGGTGTTTTAAAAACAAGCAAACAAAAAAGAGGACATCAAGTTGGGGGTGGGAAGGAGATGGGGAACATGGGGGTGACTATGATCAAAATGCACTGTATGAAATTCTCAAATAATAATAAAAACAAGACACTTGTTTCAATCCCCTCAACAGCAAGAACACTAAGTTTTTTTGAAAAATTAAAACCAGAATTCTAACCCAGTATTTGGCTTTTCCCTTTTCAGAACTAGCAGGCTTTCCAGCAACAAGGTGGTGTGAGACACTATCAGAACTTCCCATTAGATTTTTCGTAGATACCATAAAAGCAACCAAGAATTGCTTGGGAGACTCAGGTTAATCTGATAAACACACCATTGGCTTAAAAATAAGTTTATAGTTTTTAAGTTTAGAAAAAATGGCGTTTCAGTTTCTTCAGAAATGCTGATACAGTGCATGCCAGTTTTGACCATAGTTATGTTGGGCTGTAAAAAATTTATTGCATAACAGATTATAATTGGATATTTATATTTAAACGATTTTAATTGGAGGATCTAACAGCATATTATATTTGGTACTTTCTATGGATCAATAAAGCTGCCAAAATGATGGCTGGCTGCTGTCTACAGAGCTCAGAGTCTGCTGGTGAGCTAAGGAAGACGTCCACAGAGCTCTGTGTGACGAGAGGAAACGGGACAAGGCCTACAGAGGAAGAGGCCAAGGTAAGACAGCTGTGACTGTCAGAACAGGCGGGAGCAGAGGGGCAAGGACCAGGTAGAAGCCTGTATAAGGTGGTACATGAACCCCCATCAGCATCAGGAGCATCATCAATGCTCCTCAACCTTCCGATAAATGTCAAAAAGAATTCAGGCCAGGTGCCTGGTTTTTTTAGGATTTGCTTTATTTTTTTTATTTATGTGCATGTGTCTATGTGAGTGTATGCCATAGGTGTGTGTTTGCTCAAGGAGGGCGTCAAATTCCCTGCGGCTAGAAGTACAGGTGGCTGTGGGCCACCCAGCATGGGTTCTGGGGACCAAACTCTGGTCATCTGGAAGAGCGGTATATGCTTTTAACTACTGAGCCATCTCTCCAGTCCCTCAGGTGCCTCCTCTGACCAGAAACTATTGGATGAAGTATTCTAACAAAACATGGAAATAAACCAAAAGAAGAGACAGACTAGGAAAGGGGCACAGGGCTGCACAGACACCAATGGCAGCGCCTGGATGATGCAGAGAAATCTAAGGACAGCTATGCAAGGGCAGAGACTCCTGAGGAAACTGCGCTTACCTAGAACCAGGGGAGGGTTTTAGGAAATATACCTTGAGGGCAAAGAAGAGAGCTGGCCAATCTGAATGTGTCTATATTTTATTAAGGCCCCAAAAAACAATTCAGGCAAGTGTCACTGCTTCTGACTGCCCACCAGAACGAGACAGTAAGACCTCACAGCTGACCACACTACATGCTGTGGTCACAAAACAGAGAGAGATCATACTGGAACTAGGCTGAAAGCTTTCTACCTGCTGGCTAGAGCTCAGGGTGCTCAGGTGCTAAGCAGGCTGCTGGGGGGCAAGTGTCAACAAGTCTTACTCAGCTGTGGACCCTTGTGTGCTAGTCTACCAACCTCCAAGCAAGATGTGCCCACCGTGCAAAAGTGACAACTCTGTTAGAAAGTAACCAGTTTCTGACTGGATGGAGGCCCACTCCACAGGAGAGAATTCATGTCTAGTACTGTGAAGCTGCTCAAAATCCTGTGGCTGGGGAGATCATAAGCCGAAGTCGGGGAGCGATTGCTGCCATTTTGTCAAACGGACATGATGCGCCCACCAAACTGCAGTCTATCTACCTGTAGATTAGTGCAGCTGTCGGCTTTGACCAGGCTTCTTCTTATAGTGGTAAGGAATGACTGCAGAAACCTATAACTGGTCAAAGTGATGAGAATGAGTGAATGTTGAATGCTTGGCCGTAAAGGAACATCTACATCATCCCCTTGGCTCAGGGAGCATCACAGAAGGGGCAGAAAGAAGGTAACCACCACAGGAAGTGGGGGTGGGGTACAGTAGACAGTTACTTTCCAGATGTGACCTTACCACTGCATTCTTGAACTCACAGCAGCTGTGACTGTCTATGCAAGTCTGTACAAGATGCAGGAAATGGGAGGAAGTCACAAGCCTCACCCCACTTTCCAGAGGACTTCTATGCAGTTAATGGTTGATGGGGGAGAGAGAAATATTTTCTTTAGTAATGTAGCCACTGGTAAGGTGCCCATGGTCATTTAAAAAATACAGTAGAAGGTAGATTACGTGGGAAGAGGCAGAGGATCAGCAGGAGTGGTAGAGGCACAGGAGATGGTAACAGGAGGGTGAAAGACACAACATATACAGGTATGAAAATGTCATATTGAGCCCCATTTTATGTATGATTAATATATGCTAGTAGAAA